CACTTTTTAGGCTATTTTTTTTGTTAATTTTCACCTGGTGATCCTACAAATAGGCCTGTTATTTTTCAACTTCCTTTACCAGACCAAGCTGTCCATCAAAAGTGGCAGTTAAGTTACATTCTCATGGGCAGTTAGCATATCCGGCACATTTCAGTGGAAAGAATCTGCATATTCCTGTGGCTGGAATTCACAGTGTGAAATGACAGGCTGATGGCAGCCGCAGCTATTGTGACTGTTTGCACAGCCCACAGAACCTGTCCAGCCAGGATTTTCTGTCCCTGACCACAGAAACTGTGTGAACAGTCAAGGATAGCTAAGGTCGCCATCAGTCTGCCATTGCACACACATCTCATTCCAGCCACAGAAATGCACAGATTCTTGCTGTTGGAATACATGGGGTCTGCTAATCACCTGTATGAATGTAGCTTTAGAGGGTTGAGACAAACTATTTAACACTGGCAGGGGTGCTTACAATGATCAGCTTTTATTCATTTAGTTAAAACATTTATCCCAAAAGTAAAAAAAAAAAACTGTTGCTGTAATTGTTTTAAAAAGTGTTAGCTGGAGTTCTGCTTTAATTTGTTAGTCAATTCCATTTAAATCTTCCAGTCTAAAACTCTCCTTTCCCCAGACTGACAATGCTGCTGTCCAAAGGTGTCTCCATTGCTTCTCCATTGCTCCTACAGGAAGTGTATTAATATCCAGATCACCAGGTACAAATAAAGGGAAACAAACCTAAAAGAAGAACACTATTAAAGTCTGGTTCACACTGATGCAATTTCAGATGTGACTTGGGTCACACTGAATTGCTTGACAATGGAAATAACATTGCGTCCAATGGTGTCTGTTCACATCAATGCAGAGCAGCTGCAATGCAATTTTGGAAAAGGTCCTGTGCTACTTTGGTGCGATTTACCATGTGCTTTGGCTCCATAGAATATGCAAACCCCATACAAAAACTAGGGTGAAAAATCGATGATTTTCTTTAAAAAAAAAATCAGATTTTTTAAATTTAAATCAGATTTTTTTTATTTTTATCAAATTTATTTTGATAAAATGCTTTTGGAGTAAAAATCTATCTAAAGATAGTTTTCTATTTAAGATACATTAATAATTTAGTTTATTCAGCATGAAATGGAGCTTAGTTATGTAGTATGAGGCAGTATATTCTGCAATATTTACATTTTTAGTAAACTCATTCAATCAATCCAAGCTCTGCAAGCTGAGATAACATGCACTGCATTGATGCAGTCACAGTAACCATGAGAAAAAACATGAAATAAAAGGCTGAGTAGTTCTCCAACTATGTGTGATTAACCTATTAACCTAAAATTGGTTCTGATATCGCTGTCTTACTAACCTGACAGCTTATTATTCTAAAAAGGAAACCTTTATTTGGATTGCAAATATTAAAGATTCTAACTACCAGCAAGAATGAGTCGGATTCCTTACATTTAAAGAGCACCTGTCATTTTAGATCCATCATGGCAGCGCCTGTTAGCGGGCATCCACTCACCTGCTGCCGCCACATCCCTTCACCTTGTTGTATCACTGCTGCATCACCAGCCGCCCCATTAAAGTGAATGGGACTGTCAGTGAGCCAACAGCGGGTCAGTGGAGGAGATGTTGCGGGACACAGATGACAGTTGCTCTTAAAAAATTATGATATGATTTAAATGGAACCATTTCAGTAGTGAATTGAAATCATGATTTAAATCAACTTGATTTAACTCAAATCCACCCTATCCAAAACACAGCCAAAGTCGCATCAAAGTCACTACATAATCGCACTGCGTCAAAATTGCATCGCAGTAGTGTGAACCTAGGCTTAAGAATTAGTAAGCTGCAATATATTACATTTGCGTTTTGAGGTTTTAATACCTTTTTAAAGTAGAAGTTCGGTCAAAAGCTAGCGAATCTTAAGCATAGGTTCACACTATGAATCGCATAAGAACCACACCATATTCCTCTATAATTAACCTGCGATTCAGTGCTGTGAGATTTGACCCAATTTGTTTTGAATGGGCTCAAATTACACTGCACCTGCATCAATGTTGTGTTTGCAGCAATTTTGGGAACGCACTGCATCCGGATCACATGGTTGTTTTGTACCATGTAATCGGGTGCAGGAATATATGCTCTGCATTTGCGGTGCCATTAAGATTGCACTGACACCCACTGCAGATCACAAGGGCAGTGCGACTTGAATGCAGTGTGGGAAACGGGAATGGATAGTGGGGTTTTTGCACTGCTTTCTAGTGTGAACCGAGGATAACCTTCTCCCACCCCTATTCTAAGCCATATGCTAACTCTCCTGTTAAAAAAGATGTATATATTTACCCAATCTAAGGGTGCTCTGGTCCGGTCATGTGATCTCTCCAGCACGGGCATCAGTTGAAGAGGAGAGATTGACAACACCGGCTGCAGAGCCTGGTTGATGATTCCCCCCATAGGCTTACTATGGTGCATCTGATGTCTGCTGAAGCACCCGATCATGTCTCTGGACCAGAGTCCACTTAGAGTAATCCTTTAGAATAGGTTTTTAGAATGGGGGTGGGACTAGATTTAAAGAATATGTAAACCCAACATTTTTTTATATTCCTAATATGTGCCTGCTGTACCATGTACTTGTATAAAAATGTATCTCATTCTCTTTGTATTGCTTCCTTTGTGTGATATCCCTGGTGTTCCTGCCAGTCCCTCTGCTTTCCTATTAAAAACTGACCACACTGGGCATGGTCAGTTTTCTAGCTGTACTGAGAATTCAGCCTGCTCTCCTCCAATGATTAGACCTGTCCTGACCCCCCCCCCCCCCCCCCCCCCCACCCATCCCTACCCAATGGACAGCCATTCACTAGGAAGATCAGCGTGCAGCTGTTTCTCATCCCCCAGCTCTTATGCTGCGGAGAACTGGGGTAATGCGATCACTTATAAAAAAGGGGGAAAAGGTGTATAATGTTTTTTATGTCTATACACAAATGTTTTATTGTTAATTTCTATTTTGAACTGTATGGGTTCTGGGTTTACAGTCACTTTAAAGCCTAGTTTGATTTTGTGTCAGAAAAACTTGAAAACAAAATGGATTTTGCTCTACACCTCAACCCAAATCAACATATTTATACCCAATAAACATAAGTAAACTGTACGTCTAGAAAAAAAAATGAGTGCCGACAGATATTAATGACTTACAAGTTCCATTTATTAGTTAAAAACCAAAACACACTGAACATGTATAAATGAACCAATTAAAAATCAAGAGTCATGTCTGCAAACTAATGGAGTATCTTCAAACCATATCTACACATATAATTACCATATGCTCAAATCAAAACAATTTAGGTTACCAATCAAAGCTCAGAGCATATGGTAATTATATGTGTAGATATGGTTTGAAGATACTCCATTAGTTTGCAGACATGACTCTTGATTTTTAATTGGTTCATTTATACATGTTCAGTGTGTTTTGGTTTTTAACTAATAAATGGAACTTTTAAGTCATTAATATCTGTCGGCACTACATTTTTTCTAGACATACAATTTACTTACCGTATTTTTTCCTCCATAAGGCGCACCTGACCATAAAACCCACCTAGATTTTAGAGGAAGAAAATAAGTAAAAAAAAATTCTGAACCAATGGACTGCAGACATAGTACAGAAGATGACCAGAGACTGCAGACTTAGTATAGGAGATGACCAGAGACTGCAGACATAGTACAGGAGATGTCCAGAGAGTGCGAACATAGTGCAGGAGATGACCAGAGACTGCGGACATAGTGCAGGAGATGACCAGAGACTGCAGACTTAGTATAGGAGATGACCAGAGACTGCAGACATAGTACAGGAGATGTCCAGAGAGTGCGAACATAGTGCAGGAGATGACCAGAGACTGCGGACATAGTGCAGGAGATGACCAGAGACTGCGGACATAGTGCAGGAGATGACCAGAGACTGCGGACATAGTGCAGGAGATGACCAGAGACTGCGGACATAGTGCAGGAGATGACCAGAGACTGCGGACATAGGAGATGCCAGGAGATGACCAGAGACTGCGGACATAGTGCAGGAGATGACCAGAGACTGCGGACATAGTGCAGGAGATGACCAGAGACTGCGGACATAGTGCAGGAGATGACCAGAGACTGCGGACATAGTGCAGGAGATGACCAGAGACTGCGGACAGTAGTGCAGGTACAGGAGATGACCAGAGACTGCAGACACATAGTACAGTACAGAGATGTGACCCAGAGACAGTGCGAACATAGTACAGGAGATGACCAGAGACTGCGGACATAGTACAGGAGATGACCAGAGAGACTGTGGGAGATGACCAGAGACTGCGGACATAGTACAGGAGATGACCAGAGACTGCGGACATAGTACAGGAGATGACCAGAGACAGCGGACATAGTACAGGAGATGACCAGAGACTGCGGACGCAGTACAGGAGATGACCAGAGACTGCGGACGCAGTACAGGAGATGACCAGAGACTGACTGCGGACGCAGTACAGGAGATGACCAGAGACTGCGGACGCAGTGACAGGACTGCGGACGCAGTACAGGAGATGGCCAGAGACTGCGGACGCAGTACAGGAGATGGAGACCAGAGACTGCGGACGCAGTACAGGAGATGGCCAGAGACTGCGGACGCAGTACAGGAGATGATCAGAGACTGCGGACGCAGTACAGGAGATGATCAGAGACTGCGAACGCAGTACAGGAGATGTCCAGAGAGTGCGAACATAGTACAGGAGATGACCAGAGAGACTGCGGACATAGTACAGGAGATGAGACCGGACATAGACTGTGGGAGATGACCAGAGACTGCGGACAGAGACTAGTACAGGAGAGATGACCAGAGACTGCGGACATAGTACAGTACAGGAGATGACCAGAGACTGCGGACGCGGACATAGTACAGGAGATGACCAGAGACTGCGGACGCAGTACAGGAGATGACCAGAGACTGCGGACTGCGCAGTACAGGAGATGACCAGAGACTGCGGACGCAGACAGGAGATGACCAGAGACGCGGACGTACAGGAGATGACCAGAGACTGCGGACGGAGATGACCAGAGACTGCGGACGCAGTACAGGAGATGACCAGTACAGAGATGACCAGAGACTGCGGACGCAGTACAGGAGATGGCCAGAGACTGCGGACGCAGTACAGGAGATGATCAGAGACTGCGGACGCAGTACAGGAGATGATCAGAGACTGCGGACGCAGTACAGGAGATGATCAGAGACTGCGGACGCAGTACAGGAGATGATCAGAGACTGCGGACACAGTACAGGAGATGACCAGAGACTGCGGACACAGTACAGGAGATGACCAGAGGACTGAATTTGTACCTAAAACTTTTTATTAGCACTGATCACTGTATTGGTGTCACTGGGGATGTCAGTGACACCAAGTCAGTTCCCCCCAGTGTCAGAATGCCCGTCACAGTCCCACTATAAGTTGCTGATTGCCACCATTAATAGTGAAAAAACAAATTCCAGTATATATACCACCATTTGTAAATGCTCTAACTTGCATGTAAACCAATTAATTTACACATATTGGGATTTTTTGTAGCAAAGACATGCAGCAGAATACATTTTGGCCTAATATAGTATTTTTTTTTTCAAAATTGTTGGTCTTTTTCTGTTTATAGAGCAAAAAATAAAAAACACAGAGGTGATTAAATATCACAGAAAGAAAGCTCAATTTGTGGGGAAAAAAAGGATGTAAATTTCATTTAGGTGCAGCATTGCATGACCGCGCAATTGTCAATTAAATTAACACAGTGCCATATCACAAACAATGGCCTGGTCAGGAAGGGGGGTAAATCCTCAGGAGGGCAAGTGGTTAATATTATCTTTTGTCGCCCCCCGTTTATTATATGCATACAGATATGAGACCTGGTAGTATCTGCGCTTTTTATTATTTTTCCCTTGTTTGATTTTGACCTTCTACTTTACGCCTTGACTATCTGATGACATGATTGCTGCAGAATTGTGGAAATTCTCCTTGTTACATATAGAGGATGTGAGATGAGTCAATAATACACCACACATGGGTAAAGAATGTCAAACCTGCTACCTAGGAAAGCAAAGCTCAGCAGGGTGCAAGTGACAGAGCAGGCGGCTACTGAGCATGCGCACTGACTGCTCACCTCCTCTGGGGTCCAATGGACATAGAAGCACATAGTACCTAGGTGACATTGGAAGCAGTCCTGTAGCACAATGAACAGGCCGGTCAGTGAAAAGCAATGGCAGTGAGGCGCCAGTCTTACCTCGTCAGCTGGAAGAGGTGCTCTATCAGCATTAAATCCCGCGTTGTAGATGTGTGGTGTGACGAGCAGTGCCCGCATTACTTGTGACCGGCCCAGAGCTCCATAGAAGAGAGCAGACTGTGAATTCCGGGGCTCGCAGTGCTGTGCCGTGACAAGACAGCCGGTACAAGGTTTTGCGCTCCTCCCCCTCCCATCGGGGATTTCCCAGCCGGGGACTTTCCCAGGTTAAGCCAGCAGAGTTCATCGGTGCTCTGTGTCCAGCAGAGGGCGCGCTGCACCGAGCAACGTCCAGGCGGATTTTTCCACATACTGCTTCCATCCTGAAGCCCATGATTCATGTCACCTACCTTGAGTTTTCCTGACTGGGAAAATGGGCCAATAAATATTAGTGTGCTTAAAGTGCAACCTCACTCTCTTAACCACTTGCCCTCCAGAGGATTTACCCCCTGTCCTGACCAGACCATTTTTTGCGTTATGGAGCTGCAGTACTTTAACTGACTGTCAGGGATCCCGGCCGCTCAGCAGTGCGCGCATGCTCAGATCGCCGATTCATCAAAACCAGTGAGCACGGAGTTCTCGGCGATCGCGGTCGCACCAATGAGAGCACAGGGCGCCCTATTTAAACCTGCCCTGTGCATCTCCAAATTGCCGCAAGGTCTTGTTCCTGTTCCTGTGTTCCTGTTAGTACGTTTTCCTTGTTGCCAAACTCTGCCTGTTCTGATTTATGCTGACCCTCTCCTGCTCTGACCCCGGCTCGTCCCTGACCATTCCTCTGCCTGTAGTTACTGTTACTTTGGACCCTCTGTTACTGAACCCGGCGTGTGACCTGGCTACTCTTTGCCTTCTGCTTGGTACCGCACCTGTCCCCACTGTTACCGACCCGGCTAGTCTGACCTTGCTCACTCCTAGCAGTCATCCATCCATCCCGCTCGGATCGGGACCTGTCAGCCCCTTCACAGCAGGCTCCCGGGCACATACCATCAGCGGGACCCCTCTACCACCGCCGGGGGTGCCCAGGGGCACGACCTGGTTCCAGTCTTGCACCAAGTCCATCCCCACCATGAGGGGCTCTGGTGAAAAGGCAGACTGGGTCTTAGACTCCGGGTCCTGGGAAATCCCGTGCTGTGGACCACTAGAGATCCCGTTGGGCGGAGCCTGACACTGACAAGTGCACGGTCATGCAACACTGCACCCAAATGAACTTTATGTCCTTTTTTCCCCATAAATTGAGCTTTCTTTCGGTGACATTTGATCGCCTGTACTTTTTTTATTTTTTGCGCTATAAAAAAAAAGGATCGACAATTTTGAGAAAACAATATTTTTGACTTTTTGCTATTAAACATCCAGTAAAAAAATTAAATTTCATCATAAATTTAGGCCAAAATGTATTCTGCTACGTCTTTGGTAAAAAAAAATCCCAATATGTGTAAATTAACCACTTCTCGTCTATAAACGGCTGGAAGGGAGCACTGCCGAAGCGGGTTGACGTTTCTAAACGTCACCCACATTCACTGCCTGTGCACGCTCCCTGGGAGCACGCGGCACCATGATCCGGAGGATACAGAACACCGATTGCTGTACGGGAGCTCTGTGTGAGGTCCCAATTCATGTGATCACTGATTGGCCAATCAGTGATCACATGAATAGTAAGCAAGATGTCACTTGTGACATCATTGCTTACTACTAATGAAATCTGTGAATGATCACAGAGGTCACATGGTACATAGCTATTCACAACAGCCTTGTACCATGTGACAAGCTGTGACCAATCACAACTCTCACAGTATTTCTCCCCTTATAAGTCGCTGATCGCCACCATTACTAGTAAGAAAAAAATTCTGATATATATACCGCCATTTGTAAACGCTGTGACGTTCACATAAACCAATGAATGTACACGTATTGGGATTTTTTTCTTAGCAAAGACATTTTGGCCTAAATTTGATGAAATTTGATTTTTTAATTTTCTTTACTGGACATGTTTAAAGTAAAGTAAAAATACTGTTTTTTTCTCAAAGTTGTTAGTATTTTTTTGTTTATAGCCCCAAAAAATTATAAACCACAGAAGTGATCAAATACCACAGAAAGAAAGATCTATTTATAGGAAAACAAGGACTTAAATTTCGTTTTGGGTGCAGCGTTGCATGACAGCGCAATTGTCAGTTAAAGTAATACAGCGCCATATCGCAAAAAATGTCCTGGTCAGGAAGGGGGATAAATCCTCAGGAGGGCAAGTGGTTAAAGACCACAGAATACCAGAGAAGCACTTCTCTTGGTGGGGCTAGGATAATACTTTGTCACACTGCAATCCCCATTGAAGGTATTGAGCTACTAGTGGGAGATTGTTCCAGGAAGCTACCAGAGGGGATACCCTGTAATTGCAAACCTATTCTTTCCCTCTTCGACAGGTACCTCTTTCTAATGCTACTCCTACTCTCTCCTAATTGGCAGTGCCCACTGCGGGAACCCCAAATGATGCAGAATCTCTATAATTCTGTGGGATTTATAATCTCGTGGGATTTTAGTTTCTAATAAAATATGCTTAAACATACAGGTATAGCGCTATCCCTAAGCTAATTAAATATATGCCATAACACTAACTAATCAAAATATGACAGTGTTCTATAAATACCACTAAAGTGCAAAAAAATATAAAATATTATATATATATAAATTGTGCAATCCGTGTACTGCCAACTATAAATAAAGTGCAAAAAACTATAAATAAAGTGCCGCGACCCTGAGGAAGTCACGTGATAACGTGACGTAACGCGTCGGTACGCGAGGAGGATTCTGGGAGCGCGGTGACGTCAGTTCCGGCGTGGCGGCCATATTTGGGATCCCTGTATCTAATACCCATGCAGGAGATTCACAGCATGGGGTATTGAAGGCATGTAATGAGAGAAAACAAATGTGAGTGGGCAATTTGTTTTATATCTATATCATTAATGATTAAACAGTATTACACTATATGAGCTCTTTTGTCCGTATATGAAACGAGGAGGAGGCGGCTGATAAAGTGTAAGAGGCGGGGGAGGACCTGGTGAGTCATCAGAGTGGTGTCCTGGTTTAAAGTGAGCTGACCCTGTGGGGTCTTGGCAAGGAGGTGAGGGGCCACTTCAGCTATTTTGGATTCACATAGAGTGGACACGTGTGAGCACATGCATGAAGATTTGTGTGTTTTTTGTCGGATTTGGACATTTTTTCTTTATGGACGATATTTTTTACAGAAGTGTGCAGTGATTTTTGCTGGTGATTGGTTTGGCACTATTGCACTTTATTTATAGTTGGCAGTACACTTATTGCACAATTTATATATTATATTATATTTTTATTGCACAGAGATTTTGCACTTTAGTGGTATTTATAGAACACTGTCATATTTTGATTAGTTAGTGTTATGGCATATATTTAATTAGCTTAGGGATAGCGCTACACCTGTATGTTTATGTTTATTTACTCATTTTGGTAAGGAGGTTTGTGTTAGCAGCTTGGTAAATAGGGCCCCAGTCTTAGCGCAGGAAGTTCTTCTGTTTTTTACTAATAAGATATGCTGTCCTCCTTCGCTGCCTGGAGTCGATAACAGGGGACAATTAGTCCTCAATGGTCTTTTGCCAGCCTGTAGAAACGGCACAGTACCACCTTAAGGTCGGAGGCTATACTGCAGCCACTACCTGCTGACATACAGGTGTTGAAAGAGAGAGGCAGGTCTTAGCTTTGTGAGGCCTTAGGCAAAACTTAGACATGAGGCCCCACTCACACCCATGATGGGAAAAATACTGTAAGCAATAAAATTAACTAGGGGATGGGTAAGGCAACCACTGGCAGTTCAGGAGTGGGGCTAACAGCTCACAGAACATTGATCAGCAAGCAGTTGATAAAAACAATTATGTTTAGAAATAGCACTAAATGAAAGAATAAATAGTAAAACATACCCATTTAATGTGAAACTCGTGCTTTT